AGCAGGAAAATTATAACATTAACAAAATTACTCTGCATTAAGTTTCAAAACCAGCACCCACATAATGTAAAGACTTACAGAATATTAAATGGTTTCTCTTCAGAATCTAGGGTGTAAGAGAAAGAAAACCCTGTAAGACTCCACCTTGAATGCCTCAACTTAAAATCATATTATTTATTTTGTTCTAGACCTTCTTAGTTTTCTCATGCAACTTAGAAAAATGTCAGATATCAGTTTGAGCCTGCCGTATGCTTACCAGTGTGTAGTTCTTCTGAAAATGAGCCCCATCATTGCGGAACATCTGGGCTAAAGCGCTCTTCCCCACAGCTGGATCTCCTGCAAAACCAAAAAACAGAAAAGATTTTTGTTTCATCTTAGAGAATCTTATTTTCCCTTGGTTCTGTTACTATCACATGCTATAAAAGCTTGAATGCTATAACTCTGAATACAACTATCACAAGAAGCATAAAACAATCTAAAAGGTAATACCCATGTGAAGAAACAAATATTGCCATTATGCATACTGGTGATGAGATCAGATTTCTGCTTTATGAATGACCCAGAGCAGGGTGGAACTGCTGTTTCTTTAAAATTCATGTCTACCCTATAGTCTTTACCTAAGAATTAAAATTTCCCAGATATGTTACCATGTAGAGAAAACCACAATGTGAAAAGGGAGACTCGGCTGCATAGGAGACTATTTCCTCTCCTTAGATTACCCATTTGCCCAAATTCAAATCCTTGTTACATACTGAATTTAGGGAAGAGTCAGGTCATTTATATTACCAAGCTGCTTAAGCTGGTAACATTCCTCGATAAACTCTTCTTGCTGACCCTGCTAAGAGAGCAACTCTTGGTGACTCAAAGCTGCTGGTGGCTCACTAGTTGCATCCTGGCCATAACAGAAGCAAATGTCACTTGGCTGGAGAGAAAGAGCCTGCTGATTCATCCATACATGGAAGGAAAACCAAGAGGCTTTATTTTTTGCTTTTCTAAAGCCAAGGCTTTCTGGTATGGCTTACACAACACTTCAGGCAAACCTGGCAGCTGCCTGCTTTGGCCTGCTGTTACAAAACTCTGTAAGATCCAAAGCAATGGCAGAGAACTGCAGAATTCACATATGCCCATACCACTCCATGAAAAATATCATAATCCTTACAAAACAAAGATTTAACTTAATGTTCCCAAAAGGCTTATCCTGTCTTCACATATTGTCTCACTAGCCTGAATAGTTCAAAGGACAGGAACCAGGACTTAAATACCTCAGTAGTTCTAGCTTTACCGTTAAAGAAACACTCACGACAGCCAAGCCTGGAATGCAAGTCTTTTATGTTACCTAGTTCATAAACCCAGAAAGGGGTATATTTCAACCCTATTACAGCTTCCTAGATGGTGTTTTGAAGGAAATTGGGAAAGCTATCTGCTCACATAATATCATAGAGGAGGAAGGGTGTTTTGGATAGTGACAATTGCTCCTAGATGCATTAAACAAATGTAGTTCTTGTTTAAAGATTTTTAGCATGCTTGCTTACTTTGAGATGAGTTGAGCTCATAATATTTAGACAGGAAAATCTGGTAAGTCAGCTTGTTTGTTCCCTGATCAGTTCAAGCTTGTGCTGAAGACAACACTCTGTTCTGAGTGCAAGCTATTCTGTATTTCAATAGACAATTAGATCTGTCTTTGTAAAATGAGATAGAGAAGCATACATTGCTCCAAACTGCGCAGGCAGCATCCAGTGCAAATTCTTAACTAATGTGTTGCCTTTCTTCAGTTTGACAGCCCCAGTTGTTCTTTCCCTCTTCCTATTCTTTGCCATCCTCTTAGTCCATTACATCACTACTCTTTCTCAAAATAAGTTTCCTTACCCTTTTCATTTAGTTTGGTCTCATCTGCCAGTACTGCATACCACAGTATTTATTCCATCCATATTTCTGTTATTCTGCCAGAATCTGTAGTGTGTCTCTAAAATGCCTGCTACTGCCAACTGTCTCTGCAATGAAAACCTTTTCATAGTGTCTCCACAGTAAGCTCAACAACAACAGCTTTTACTGTGTGTCTCTAAATTACCCTTGAGATAACACAGGAATTGCTTTCTATTGTCAAGTTAATAGTCTCTCTTTTGCTAATAAAAGCCCTTTCCCCCTGTTATTCTCTTTGACCTTGGTGCAGCTCCCAATACTGCGAGCCACTCTATTCTTCATAACCATTTCCTTAGGTACACAAGAGTTCCCTGTTCCATCTCTGACATTTTTGCTCCTACCTATGAAATTGCATTTTCTTGTTCCCTTTAGGTTGTTGTGGTTACTCATCTCTTATGTCTCTTTCACTATATTGGTCTCTTCCGCAAGAGAGAAGTTATTTTGCCTGGCCTGCTTCATTATTTTATTATTTTTAAGAATACACGACTATTATTGCAGCACTTAGGAGCACTACATATAGGACAGGACCTTCCTGTTTGTGTTGTGAACAGAATTGAAAAGGCAGCTCCAGACCCAATTAGCATTAAGCACGTAACTGGGTCATCCAAAGAAAACCTATGTGAATTTAAAATGGTCATGGAATTGACCTTTGGTAAAACTAAACTCAACTTGAAAGACTTATGCAAAGCCTACATTGGGACCTGGAAACTTCCAAACTGGAAACGATGTGTAAGTTTCAAATCTAGAAGACAGGCAAGATACTCATGCTGTCCACAGTAACTATCAACAGAGGCAGGAGACAGATTAATTCTTTTGCATTTTGCCAAAGATCACATCTAACTTTGTGCGAGTTGATGGTTAGCTGCTTCTGAGGTTAAAAAAAAGGGAAGCATTGTATTCTGGTTGAAAGAAAACAGGTTTGGAGCAAAGAGTTAAACCTGGGAGTTGTCTGCACACAAAAGTTTTATGGATTTGTGCTTCTTGCTGAGGTTGCACAGAGCTTCAATGTAGAGGGGAAAAAAAAGGAGAGTTTTTTTCCTGCAGTGTTAACAGTCAGCTGTACTTACTTTCAACACCTCTGCAATCCATCCTGACTAAATAAACTGGTGTCTTCACCTCACTTTTTTCAGGTTAACCTCCAGTTTGCTTGGGGAAAAAGATGACTCAGTGAAGTGCACATTCTTCGTCCTTCTACTCTTTGGTAAGGCTCTGCCTTTCCATCACACTCAGAATCATCCCAATTTCTGACATGAATTTTTCCTCCGTAAGAGGCAGGACTCGGTTGTCTACCCTGCTCCCTTCACACTTCCCCCATCCTCAGCCCACTTTTCCAGACTGTAGAAATACTCTTTTTTTTTTCTATTTTTCAGATCCTGCCCTCGCATTTCAGCTGGTCTGACTACACAGCCTCCCTGAATGCAGCTCTTGATTCTTCGCATGTCGTAGGCGGGAGAGAACACAGGGTAGGTAACAACAAACGGGATTTCCATCCTTCCCGTCCCGAGGGAGCTGCGGCACCCACCCCTCTCCT